CCCTTCACGGCATTGTTAGTTTTACTAATTTGTTTTCTAAATTCATATCGTGGCAAGACAAACATAGATTACAGTACAAAAAATATTTACCCCCCCAAAAAAACTAAGTATTTATTTCTGCAACTAATCCGCCAATATTTTAGTAAATTTATTAAGGACTGTTGGACTGAGATAATGTGGAAGTTTGTTGTATATCGAATTTGGCAAGTAATTTACTTCTAAGAAACTTCAGTATACTTGTAATGTACAAGTCATATAGGAACTTTTGTATAGTATATTTTGTAGTGAATTAACGCAAAATAGTTAAAGCTATCGCTATATATTAATTTTTTAAATTACATATGAATTCGAAATTTTACTTCTCATAACTTGATTATATCTAGTGTTAGTTTGGGTGCCTGACGGCGCCCCTCCGACGCTCGGCGCCCCGGCAGTTGCCCTGCTTGCCCGCCCCCAGTTTAGGACCTGATCGTTGGATATGTAGCGTATTACATACACGTCAAAAGTGTGAATTAAATCAGTGAAGGTTAGCATAAATACATACTGCTCCATACCTTGTAGCAATATTTTCAACTTTATGAGCCTTATACAAGTTTTGATGGAAATAAATAATAATAAATAAATAACAGCCTATAGCTTGTACAGTACAAGCTATAAGCCTTGTGGGGTGAAGAAATGTGTTCAACTTTTAATTCCGTACAGCTTTGTTCTGGTTTAATCCCCACAATTGATATTTTGAACGTAGTCACCAACTTCAGAGAAAGGATATAAGAAAGGAAAAACATCAGGTCATCACTCATCTTCACCAAGGAGGATGGAGAAAACCACAACGGCAATAAAAATACGAAATATTATTCTTATTTCAAGCACAGTCTTCAGGTCCACAGAAGGAGCGAACACAGTCATTAAATGTGTATATAAATATGTAGAATTTCTACATAAGTAGACCTAGTTTAACTAAGAAGTCGACAAGAAAAAAAAGACAAGAACACCTTCAGATGCCGACACTAAACGTCCTCATCGGTACAATACTAGGAAGGCCACTACTACCAGAAAGGACAAAAGTGAAGTTTCTACTGATTCGTCCGAATCCGATTATGATGACTACAGAAGAGATCGAGCTCCAGCTCATCAAAAAGTGTTGAGGCCATCCAGAAGTACAGCAAGTATTTCTCGGCAAAACATAGTAGACGATTCTGATCATGATAATTATTTGAAGTCTTCAGATAATCAAAAGTAAGTTTTGTTTGCATAATCCTTTTTAATCAGGTGATAAGTAATCTCAATACTTAACTTTACTTAGGCCAACTTCTTCAAAAAAAACAATAAGATACGTAAATCAAATAAAGACACATCTGATTCCGATTCCGATGATTTGAGAAACAAGAAAACGTCCAGGAAAGCGAAGAAGGAATCGAAAAACGCAACAGACTTGTCAGAATCAGGCTCTAATCGTTTAATTAGATCATCATCCTCCGTTGTCACAGACACCTCTCATCTAATCCAGACAGACGTCGGTACACAATCTTATTAAATCAAGCTCGTCACCTGCTAATAGGTAACAACTGTTTCAATATTTTTAAGAAATGCATTTAAATATGTTGCAAGTAATTTATTTGAACTAGACCACATATTAGAACGAAAAACGAAAGCAAGAAAACATCATCTGTAGACAAAGAGGCAAATCTTATAAACGTATTCACGATAAAGACTCCAGCAGAAGACTTGATTACGATGAGTACCGTACTAAGAATTCAAAAGTATATATGTCATTACCAGCTTGGGAAACAGCCATTAGATCATAGTATGTTTAATGTATGTAGTAACAGTAGAGTATATAGTACGTCATACTTTACTTTGTATTTTAGTAAACAATATATCATAAGAAGGAAGCAAGTAATCTCAGCCTGACTCATCAACCAAAAACGCCCAATGTAATATAATTTATATATTTAACAAATTTGAGCTTGCCATAAATTAATTTGATACTAATATATTCCAGCCCGAAAGAGGTAATACATACAGAGGATTTCTCCATTTCGGATAAATCCTAAGAAAATCTTCCGGACTCAGAAGCTCTTGCTGACGTTGAGAATCATCAAGAATTAGAGAGTTACCTAAACACAACGGACAAATTTAGAAACAGCTCAAAAGAACCACGACGACGATACCTCTATTTCGTCGTCGTCATCCCTACGGAATTAGTGACTCATATCCAACTTGATGCGGAAGGATTCTGTCCTGGAATATTCGATTTTCTAAAAGAAAAGAATGAAAATATTTCAATCCCTCTCTATGTGGGACGGAATTCCAGGTTAGTTCATACCATCGTATTGTACTAGGTTCATTGTAATTAATTATCGCGTGCGACTATACAGATTTCAAAATCAAATTATTTAATAATCTCCACCACGTATAAATTTTAAAAATATCTCAATAAGTACATCTTTATTGGGACTGTTGGCCTTCACTTTATTCGCCGGTTTTCCATACTTTGTCAAGAATTGTTCTTCAATTTCATTCTCATACAGTTTCTGTCTAAATTTTTATAGGGTCACAACTTTCTGTATAATTCTCGCCGCTTTAGTAATTCTGTCCACCATTCTCAACTTTGTTATATTTTCATCCTAAATACTATATATGCACATATCTTACATAAGTTACTTGCTAAGTAGCTTTGGCTCCAAGCTACATATGATAATTTAAACGACACAATGCATTGCTGTTTCTTGTAAAAAAATAGAATTTAATTAAAATCAAGGTTATGGGAAAGTCATATCACCGGCTTAGTTACTCGTGTTGACCGTCTGTCCGTACATCCGTCTGTCTTTCAATAACTTCTGAACGCGTTGGCCGATGTGGATGAAATTTGGCAGAAACATGTATCTGGGCAATGCGATGAACGAGTTAGAAGGTGGGTTTGATCAAGAAAGATTTGGACCCGTGTGGGGGAGGTCATATTATTGGTTTGGATTTGGGGGGAACTTTGGCGTTCGGTGCAGAATATTTGAAGTAGTAGTATAAATCTGAAATTCGCCATGATAGTACCTATGGAGGTATACACTCGGAAACTGATGATGAGATCGGGTTGGGTGAGCCACACCGATTTTGAAATATTATACTGTAAGCTTCAAATTTGACACACAGGTCTCTGATAGCATCTAATTAAATACTTTACAGAAGATTCGAAAAATTCTTCACCTCACATTTGACGCTTGACTCCCCCAACATTCCAAATATCACACACTCTTCCTATTAAATTATGAAGACATTCTTAATGATTAACTTCATTTCGATTATTATATTTCTTTCACAGTATCAAGAAAATGTCGTTCCAGTCCAATACATCCACCGTTGGCTTTCTTGAAGCAGAAGAATATGACGAGGCTCCTTATCTCGTTAGTTTATAATTTAAAAGGTAATCATCAATGCTATTACCATGCATCTGAGACACTAAACAAACCCTAAAAACTCTACAAACAAAATCATTGAATTCCAGAATATATATTTCTAGCCAGAAGAAGACAAGTAAGTATTAACGCTAGAGAACTTCCAGGCTTACACAGGCGATTAGAGGATATGCCGCAGCAAAGAATTTCTGATCCCAATTCACGGGAGTATAAATCCTGTTGATAATAGACTAGCAAACCTACAAAAAAACAAGTGGATACATCCTTCAAAGTGTAAAATAAATTAAAAAATTAAAAACCGTAAAAATTCCTTTCACTAAAAGCGATACAGCCTAATATTTTTTCCGAGTTTGCCTGGGCTGCCTAATCTAGTATAAGTGTTCAAAGGAAGAATTTAGTAGTAAGGCAATTTTACATTGACAATTAGGATAGGTAGTCCGAGTCGGATTACTTATCTACATATGAGCTTCTAGTGGATAATGAAGGAAATGACAACAGGTCAGTTCCTCTTTATGCTGGAGGGAAATTCATATTGATCAGACTAGTATATCAAGAAATATATAATCCAAATAATTTATCAATTGTGATTATATGTAGGGGTCCACAACCATCAGTATTAACTTTTAACTAAAGAATAAGGACCTCTTTTTGCGGAAAACTTAAACTGGCGGTAGTGTTTTCCTCCTTCAGATTCAATAACAAAATTATGGAAGAACACTATCTGGAATTACAGGATTTTCGCAGCAGCTTTTGTAAGTGAACACATACGATTTTTCTGTGGATGTGTGGCCGATGATAGGCTGCCTATCATACGTCACCTGTGTATATAAACTCAGTGAAGGTTACCATAAATACCGCCCCATACCATGTGGCAATATTCCAAACGACAGAGGTAACTGAAGAAATAACTCAATGTATCATGTTGCAAGGCATTTACATGCGATTCGGCAAATTGTTATATCGTAATAATTAACTTTGTAAATCCCCGTTATCGTATTGCTGTTTTCATATATTACTAGAGTACCCAAGGACATCCCAAATTTTCCCCAATTTTTGGCTTGTCTTCTAACACCTTCACAATAAACTATGTATTTTGTGAACTAATCCCAAACTAATACATACCATATCCACGTATTTTAAGCTTTTATTTCTATGGATTTTTCCGAGAGACCTCGGCTGGAGAAGTCCTTCACTTTTACCTCTACTTCAACTTGGTGTGATGGCGGCATTTTTGAATATAGATTTATTTAAAATATAGTAAATGTTCTATGAGTTACCTTTTCAGATTTTGAAAACTAATTTAAATTTGGACTACCATAGCGGGTAAGGGTATTTTATTCACTTAACTTATCATTTAAAGGTCATCATCAATGCTATTACCATTCATCTGAGACATTAAGCACAGATACCCAGAGAATCTCAAAAATCTATGAATCCCAGAATATTTGTTGAGAGCGGTCCTTGCAACTACCCGTCGCGAGCGTTTCTCCTGTGAGAGCTAGAGATGACCGTTGGTACTTGGTGAATTATTGTGACACTAAATACTCGTGACAACTAAGATAGCAAATAAACCCCCACTATAGACTGCAATACTGGGTTTTACTTCTATTTATTGCACGAGGCACTTTTAATTTACATAAAATTGAAGAAACAATTAATAATTTGTTCTCCCTTTTTCACATACTTTTTAACAACAACTTTCTTCTCTCTCTTCTCAAACTCAACTAACCGACAAAATCTCCACAACCAATAATATGACGAGATCACATTACAGCGCTACATTCAATAAATATGGGGAATATGAGATCTCTTCAATATTATACCCTATTTCAAGAAGAAGACACATAAGTATTAATGCACCACCAATTCCAGATAAGATTAGATGAGCAATTGGAAGATATTTAGCAGCAAAGAATTTCTCATCCCCAAGCCCTAGAAAGTAGAAATTCTTGTGTAAATTATATACGATAAGAAGCAAATACAGATCGAAAACAGAAGATAACGATGGCAGATATTTCATACTTAGGAAAATATTCTATTGTATCTAACCAATATTTTTTTTGTATACTAAAAATATTTTCTTAATTTTGATGCAGTAGAACAGCAAAAAATGGAAAAATATCCTTTCCAGAATCAAGACTATTAGGTTGACAATATTTCTGTTCATGATAGTGAGATAATTAACCGAATTAAACACATAATTTCATTGATGTATTAAATAATTTACTTGAACCATACATACATTTATGTTTGTTTTTAGGATAGTTTATCCTGGCCAACATAATTCTGCATTATCCTGATGTCAGGATAAATACGAAAACTATCTACCCATCCGATGCAGAAGCGATGTCAATTATCGAAAATTACAACGAAATCGGTAATTATTTCGATTATTATTTATACAACGTCAGAGACACAACCAAATGAATGACGACGTTACCTTCATTTCGCCGATGTCATTCCTTAGAAACTAGTTCGCCACATTTAACCTTACTTGGATGGCTTCTGTCCAGAAATATTTGACTTTCTGAAAGACAACGAAAACAACGGAGATTCCTACCATTGTGATGCGGAATTTGTGTATGCAATCTAAACAACTATAAAAATTACGTGATTGTCAGTGTAACTTTTTTGGTGATGAGGTTACACAGGTGAACGGTGGACGTTTCAACGACACATGGGATAAATGTAAGGGATATGTAAGGGATAAATGCTTCTTATTTCATTAATTTATCATTTTAAAGGTAACCATCAATGCAATTACCACGCATCTGAGAACCTAAATAATATTATCAAATGCACATTATATAGGAAGCAGTACTACAGAAGGGTTAGTACTTATGATTTACTCAAGTTCAGGAGCCTATATCTTCCGATATTTCAGCGCTAGGGAATCCAAATTAGTGTCAATTTACTCACCAACATTGTCCTATGAAACTCCGATTTCTATTTTTTTTAATCCGATATCAAACTCAACGTTTTTGAAAATTTCAATTTTTCCGACCGACCCCCTTGCTCAGAAAACTTTCAAAAATATTGAAATTTTCAAAAAAGTTGAGTTTGATATCGGATATGATAAAGCAACTATCTGGGATCAGAAATATGTAAAAATTATGAAAATCCGAGCAAATTTGGATTTTTGGCAACACTTTAAACATGTGAAAACAGGGCTTTTTTCGTGTTTTTCACATCTTTGAGGGGGTGTGGCGGGCGCAAATGGGGCTATGGCATCAAACCGTTTTAAGGTTATGCTACACTCACCTAGAGCTTCAACATATGTCAAGGGCGTCAAGATCTGTTGTTGGCAGGTCCGGAAGCTTTCCTCCTCAGTGGGGCATTGTTTCCAAGCTGAAAACTCCTGGAAATGAAATTAGTCAGAAGAGTATATCCCATGTGATAAAAAGCCGTCGAAAAATTCAACATGAAATATCAACCGGCGAATCTGCGCCACTATTTCTTCGACGACGCCGGGCAAGATAAAAGCAGTGATTAGGAAAGTTGAAGCAATGGCGAGCAAAGAAAACTCACACTCCCAAAATTTCTGGGCAGAATCTTTGAAAGTACACCAAAGAACCATAGGCTGAATAATTCACACCGATTTGGACAAAATTTTCCGAATAAAATCAAAGGTGCATGTACTAAAGTCGAGCCATGTCAAAAATACGAAGATCACGCCGCGCAAGCTCTACGAAAAATATGTTTCCGGTAAAAGGTGTGAATTTCTTGTCACTTTTGACGAAAACTGGTTCTATCTAGCCAACTATAACGGAATAAGACAGATTTGCTACCGAAAAAGAGGTAAAAGTATTCCATCAAACTGGGTCATGCAACGTCGCGAAAGTTTTTAGTCAAAGTTAATGGTTGTTGGAGGAATGTGCGAAAGAGGAACCCTTCCACTTATCCGAGTCCCCCGAAAAGTAAGGATTCACTTGACTACTATATTGAGAAGATTTTCCAACATTGTTGGAAATTATAGTTGCAAAATTGGATGTGCACGATATTGACAAAGTTGTATTTCGTCCTGAAAATGCTTCCTCGCATACGTCCCGGAAGACCATGGCTTATGCAGCCAATTTAAAACAAATATTAGCAATTACAATTATTCTCAATGAAGACATTCTAGGCAAGTCCGCTGATATCAGTCCGATTGATTTTTATGGATTTGGTGCGTTAAAACAAGCATTATTTCTTCGGAGGGCGACCAAAAAAAGGAGTTTGGACTATTCTGAAGACCGAGTGGGAGAAACTAACCCCTGAAAATATTAGAAAAGAGTGACCGAGTGGAAAAAACGACTTGGCCTGGTTAGCATAGCTAATTGGCAACACATTGAGTCGTTCAATAAAATTCACCAACCGAAAATACTACAGACAAAATTTAGATAAGCTTGAGTAAATCATAAGTACTAACCCTGTATATAATATCGTAAACAAATGGTATATCATTCCCTTAATACCGTGCATTCGGCGTATTTTTTTATATTAAAATTACCATTTTTGCATCTACGTTTTTGACTATCTTAAAACTCATAAGATGTATCCTTATAAGCCCTACCATCTTACTAAAAAGTTTAGACGTTCTAGTCTAAACGTTTTAGTAAACGTATAAAGGATTTGGGAGAGGTGGGCATCGTAATTTGAAGCAGTAAGATCAATCTGGAATTGAAGATAGACAACCTCAAAGACAAGAACAGATGAACGACAACGTTACCTTGTTTCGTAGATATCATTCCTCAAAAATAATCATGCATGATCTGTATGATCTGAAGTTGCAGTACTAGAGATAGCAGATTTTGTAAAAGAAGGTCACATTTCTGTAGATACGTCATTTGTGTGTATCAAATCAGTTAATCGGAAAATAAACACCGCTCCATACCTTGTAGCCGTATTTTCAAACTTTTGTGTACAAATACAGTAGAATTTGGTGACAGATGAAACACAGAAGTTCAGCGACAAGGTGCAAACGGTGTGTTGGGCAATCACATTATAATTTTGTAATCGACCGATAAACCCAGTAGCACGTTAATTTTAATTTTATCAATTTATCATCACACACGTAATGGTAGATGCGAATTCGAAGCTACGTCTTATTGGAGGCACTAGAAACGATGACACTAACTATTCACAGAAAAGTGGAACATGGAATTGAATGATGTCTCTGACCTTATCAAAAATGCATGCGATATCAAATTAATAATATGTCGTCCAGGCCGAATAGTAGAATTATAGATGAAAATCACTTAATCATGAGTTATCCGACTCGGCATCGCTCAATCAACAAATTTCAAGCAAGATGCCTCATCTTACCATGTATGTAGGCATCAGATTTAAGAAATTCATATTTATATAAGTAGTTTAATCTTATGCTAGGCTGCGTTAGGTTGACGTATCAATTCAGTTTACTAAAGTCAAATAGAGATTGAAATTATGGTAAGACAAACAACCGGTAATGAGCTTAGTATAAAGCACTGACTTAAAAAAATCTCTCGATTACATTCCTTGTATGCAATCACGTAAGCAAGCCATAAAAATATTGTAAAACTATACTCTTTTGAAATTACTGAAGAAAATTTAAATCATATTTGCATATAAGTAATAGGAATTGAATTACTTACACAAAACTCTCACGATTCATTTGCGTCAATTGTAGCTTAAAAATTATGGACATACTTACGAAGCAAGTACATAATTAAATGTACATTGCTAATTATGGATTTTAATATCTTAGGAATTTTATGTCTACTGTACAAGTTGATTTTGCATACTTTGTTTTAGAAAAGCTAAAGTAAAAAATAGAAAACGTAAACAAAATTATACTATTTATAAGTGAAGTAAGATTTTCTATTAAAATAGAATGGAATTGGCAGATAAAATAAAACGGTGCTGTAAATATATCCGCAACCTGGATCTCTTACAATTATCAATAGCACTCGAAATGTCAAATTTAATTATTACAATTCTCAATTGAAATTTTTAACCTATGTAGGACATTTAATGCAGTCCATCCAATTTAAACTCCAACCAAAACTAAATAGGTGAATTTTGTATGTGGAATCCACATTGTGCATTAAATTATTTGGCTAAATTTGAATGCACAGTAGTTTCCGCAACCAATATATAACTGAAGTTGAACAACCTAAGTGCAAGATCGGCAAAACTAATCATTGTCAATGAGCCAGGTTAACTTTCAAAATCATTTAAACAAACAATTCTTCATTTGCTCATATGAGTAATATTTAAGCTATTATTCCTCCCATATTTTCATAAGAAATCTAAATTGTTTGAAAAAGTTTCCATCGCTATCAAATGAACCATACAAATAACTCCGTTTGGTTAACTCCGTTTGGTTTTTGGTTAATCAAAAGATTAACCAAACTTTATATAATCAAAACTATCTTAAATATTGATCTTATTATTGAAATCATGAGTATTCAATGCTACTTTTCAAGACCGAATTTGAGATTATAAGAAACTTCATAAGATTAAGCTCTCTGAAATTGCTCAAAGTGTTTAAGTTTGTCCTGCCTTTGATGGACAAGAAATTCTTAAAATCTTTCCAAATGACAGGTAACCATAAACTTATTAGACTTGTAAATTTTCCCAATTACTTAATTTCTAAATAAATCAACTAGATTATAAATATTTTGTTGTTGACCTGGATTTTTCGGGGATGAGTTTTCCGTTGACACATCTCCTTGTAGGATGGGTGGATGAGAAGGAGAGGATGTATTATTGTTCACAGTGTTGCTCGGGTTTGCTGAAAATTTGGAATTATTTCGGTCATAAATTACATTTATTTTTTTAAATTTAAGAATACTCCTGATAAATCTTACCTCTGTTTATCTGAAGCACTTTTTAATTTTAGTTGAATTGAGGATGTATTTAAACAAAACTTAATTTCAAGTTGTCCTGAGAGATATGATATTATTGCAAATGGAAAATGTAGTCCATTCTCATCCTGTAGAAATTGATTATAATCTTGATTAATTACGACTTGCTAATTTTTATAAAACTTTATACTTTGTATGTAGAGGACTTTTAAATAAATATTGGTATAAATAAATTCAGAAATTAGCGAGATATAAAACTCGGGCTCATGACCTGTCGTGCCGTCGCAAGATTTAAGATAATGAATTAATTAGATTCTAAATATCACAATTTATGTCGTAACAAAATGAGGATGTGTATAGAAATTATTGAATTGAAAAATCAGTATACACTATGAAACCAGTGATAATATCATGTTTACCTACATACATAATTAATTTTATTAAATAAATTTTAACTTTGAACTAAATTTATAAGAAAATACTGAAAGTTTTAGATCAAAATAATTTCCTGGTTAAATTTCATCTGATTTCTTATCTTAATTTTATCTGTAAATAATTTATTTTAGTTAAAGTTATACATTTTTTTCACTCACATTTCATCCAACAGGTCAGAATTTCCGATCATGTGTTCCAGTTTCCAGGATGCCGATAAGGGTGGATGAAGGCATGAACTATCAACGGGCCGACGGGCCGTGATTTCGGACCCCAGAAGATTCTAAAATTACAAAGATATTCGTTTGTTCAAGCATTCGTTAGAATTTACTTCCCCATGAGAACAAAATCTGCAAAATATTAAAATTTAAATGGAAACATAATTATAATTATAATTTGCATCTCAACTCAGTACATAATTTATATAATTCTAAAATCGTCCCAAAAATTCATACCCATGACTTTTTCATTAAGGAGGCGGTCATTTTTACTTTTAGCATAAAATTGGTATCCTACCACCCATACTTGAAACTTGAAATTTGACCAGGACCATTTTATTTAACGACCTTGCTCCTTGGAAATGAAACCTGACACAATTTTCGATCCTTTCATACAGAATAATAGTTCTTATCCTGAAAAAGTTTGACGCATTAGACAACCCACTAACTAATCACAGTCAATAACTTGCCCTTCTACATATGCTTTTAGCACGAAGTAATAAACCTAGGCATATACCAATCTGGGATGACGACAACTCACATTTCAAAACGTACAGGCATTCGTATTGAATTTCAAGTGTAGAGATTATGTATAGTTATCTTTGTTTTCATGAAATAACCACTTTTGCAGCTTTCTACTCCAGAAGTTGACCGTGACAGATTTCCGGCCAGCCAGCATAATAAATAGGGCAAAATACTTCTCAGAAAATGACGATACAGAGAAGTCGTACATCATTCTGGCTCAATACTGATAAGAAATTGAACCCATTAAATTTTCTTAATGTATGCACAGAGTGAGATTTGAGGTTACTTTACTCAAGATATGAGCTTCTGATAATAAAATATAATCTCTGAGATAAGACGGCAGCCCAAAATTTATGATTGCTTTATACATTTCAATTTTTGTCTTACGTTATATCCAGATAATGGCCTAGGTTCCAGAAACGATGTCGTCAAGTTGGAATAAATTTTCATCTGGAAATCGAGAGAAGAATTTTATCAAAACTAAATCTTACACATTTTTCCATAGATTTGCAAATCTTTCATCATTACAGATTGGAATCATATCAATTTCAATTTAAATATGTGAGGTTCAAACTGTTGCAAGGAAAATATGTACATACACCAGCACAGCACTCATTTATGTACAAAGATTTTAATAGTATTGTACTTGAATTCGAGAAGGAATGACCAAACGTTTTCCTTTTAAATAGAAAGGGTCGTGTTTTCATGCGTGACTCACTATTAAGTAAGAGGACAAAAACACAGTCGTAAAAGTGAATGTATCGTATCCTAAATTACGGTGGCCTTCACATCCTCACTCTGGATTTATGACACCGACCGTTACTTGAACAATAAATTCTCCACTGGAATACATGATGACTAATGCGATATGTGTGGGCCTTATCTTTCAAGATTAAAATGGGTCACTACTTTTTCCTCAAGAAATGAAATGCATGTCACAAGTTAAAAATGCAGATATTAAACGCTGATAAATAAATGTAGCATTATGTATGCCCCCAGTTTAAGAAGGAAAGAATATGCAAATGGATTTCAGAAAAGACATTGTGGAAAAATTGCAATTTGTCAATACGACAATATAATTGATTGACACGAAAAATTATAAAACATGGAACAATTAAAGAAAGAAAAGTTTGTTTGCTATTTAAAGAAATATTTGAATACTGGGAGATTTTAGTTGTAACACTGTAGAAATCGCAGAGCAATTTGGTACATACTTACAAAGGTAAATCTTGAGAACCTTAATTTTTAAATAATTAGGAATTGGTGGATACGCTTAAAAGACCAAACGGATGTATTACTGTAATCAGTTGGGTAGGGTTGCAGTATGCGATATTCAACTTGAAAAATTTAACAATTTCGTAAATTTAAAGGATTCGTAAATTGGTAAAACAATTTTTCAGCTTAGCAAAGAAAATGTAATGGTTGGAGTAATTAAGCCATTTAAATGCAAAATTACCCCAATTACTTAATATAATTTGCGATTCCGCTATTATCTCTAAATTTCTTATCCCGCCCCCATTCATACGTAATACTTGAAAATATTTATGGATTATTTTCACGATACAATAAAAATATTTAATTATGACAAATACATAATTACCAATTGGCCAAACAAATTTCTTACCTTGATATCCATATTTTGTTCACCGAATTTCACTATTATTCCCTGTACATGTGGCAAACCACTTCAGCATCTTTTGAGTAACTGTAAAAATATTATCCCTTATTTCTTTGCTGCTTCAAAATTGCACATTGAGATGATTTCAATAACTTACCAGGATTCTGTCAGAATTATTAATTAAGTCGGGAGATACGGGATATTGCTTGCTAGTGAATTTTATATGTAATCTTGCATCGAGCACTTCCGTTCCCAATGAGGGACGGAGATCGACTAAATATAAGATGGGGACCATACTGGGCAAACTATTTGTCTCAACTTATCGCCATCCCCTTTCCTGGTTGGCTCTGACTTCTAAATATTCCTTGACAAAATTCGTTGCTTGATACAAAATCTCCATGTCTCCTTAAAACCTGGCGTGTGTACAAAAATAATATTATGAGAGATGAAAAATATTGGAATGCATGTCATGTAATGGGATAAACTGCCCCACGACTTCCATGCATGTTCCACTAAATTTTGGCAAACAGTGTGGATTCGTGGTCTGTGTTATTTGTAATTACTTATTTGTCCATGATGATCTGTCTGTAGCTAAATGCAAAAATTATACAAAAATTGTGAAAAAATTAAAAAAGCCACAAGCCCCTTCAAACAGCCAGTTTTCCAAATTTGGTTGCGGTAAACTTCCACCAAAAATAGGAATTAAATAATTCAGGTTGTAAGAATTCAGAAAAGATATGTTAGTGTCTCAAGTCCAGACTTTGATTATAAATAACGTCGTCTTAATTCTGCAATGAGCTAACAATGCGAAGGTGTCAGCGGCTAAGCTCAGATTTTAATGCAACCACGTAAATTTTGTCGTCCAAGTCAACGGAACTAACGTTTAGTTTCGTACTTGGTTGAATGTTACGATTTAAATAAGTTGTGAGCGATCAAAATTTTAAAAAATGCACGATTTTCAGCGTGCGGGAGGTCACAAATATTGGAAAGTGAGCGAAGGAGGAGATAATAATAATAATAATAATTTATTATACTCATTTAACTCATTCATAGTAAACAATGATCAGATAAAATAACACTATAAAGAGATTTCAAGAGTTAACACCTTATTTAATATCATAATACTTGATTAAATCGTCATATTTTACTCTAAATAGTAAATTATCTTGCTTAAAATTATCATTAATTATTCTGACAAAGGTTGGAATGCTAGATTTTTTATAACGGTTAGTTTTGCACAATTGTTCGCACATTATGTCCTTTTTACTTCTGGTTACATTATTTAAAATATTCGTGTTAAAACAGGGTAAAAATATCTAAATCTTTGATTAAATAACAACTTTTTTGCGAACTTTTCTAAAGCTATTTCTCTTCTCCTGCTTAAACTATCAAACTGACACATATTTGATATTTAGCACATATTTAGCACATCATCATAATTATTTCTGTCCACTTTTTTTCTGAAAATTATTGACAAAGCTATTTTTTGAGAACGTTCCAACTTATTAGACAACTTAGACGGAAAATTTGGACCCCATACAACTGAACAATACTCAAATTTTCAATACTCAACCGCTTCAACCAGTGAAAAACTATTCAAGAGCATCCAAAATTTCGAGAAATATTCCTGAAAACAAGGCATTTTAGGATGCGAAAGTTCGGCCAAAGGAAACGCTCCAATATTTTTTCCGCCCATGAACTTTCGGTGTAATTTTTTTTATTGGATTGCACACAATATGGGGATTGCATCGCCGAAAACCCGAAGAAAATCCCCCCAGAAATGCCTGAAAACCATGGTCTCAAAATTAAGGTATGTTGTTGGCTTTCTGATGTATTAGCAACAAAACCTGACTTTTCAGAAGAAGAAACAGTTAAAGCCCAACATTTTTAGGGAAAAATCCTACAAATTTACATTCAATTCCTCGATAATCAACGATTATTTTCCGATAAAAGAAAAATTAATTTTCAAGAAGTCGAAGCGATACCACACACTGCAAAAATCTTCAGTACCGTTTTTGATGACCTTTCTTGCACAGCCTAGAAAAAAAGTGGTTGACTTAAAAATTCATCGGATTTAAACCTCATTAACAATTTATGGTCCATTCTAACAGATTAGGCCCAAAACGGTCTCTATCCTATCGTACAAGAAGAATTATTTATAAAATTCCACTTCGAGCGAGGAAAAATTTCGCGTAACATTTTACAAAATATTTTCCATGTAATCAAAACACAAGCGGAGGAAATGTTTAATGTTTCTAATTGACACACTACATATTGATGCATAACTATGCAAAAAATACTTGCGTTTTATGAAGGCAGAAAAAATTGTGACCTCGGGAAATTTGTGCTGTATTTCTTTTCAGAAACTTTTGCGCCACGGTGTAATTCCTGCTCGTCCCTTGTTCATAATTGATTCTAGCAAATTTTATTTTTCAAGTTTCTAAAAAATTTTAAACAGCTTATTGAATTAATATTATCTCACAAGCTAAAATGTCAATAAAAAATTTATAGAGTAATTCACAATGTTCCACAAGATAGCAACCATCCATGATTTTGTAGCATAACCGAATGGCCCAATCGCAACCCCCACTTTACTCACCGATCTGAAAAGCCTCAACTCATACTTGGAAAAGCATTTTACCTTCAGAACTCCCAGAAAATCTTTTGAGCTTTCCCAAACCAATGTCGCCTGAGGCAGGAGAGTCAACAACACAATAAATCCTGCCAAACTAGTGCCAGGACCTAGCAAATAAAGAGGAAGGGGAAGTTTTCCCGGAAATTTGATGGTCATATAATTAGTAAAAATAAGTGTGCACATGCCAAAAAATATTATCGGCGGGGCGGATAGATACATGTAGTTTTGATTGCAGTAGCGAGTCCATATTTGGACTTCCTTATACACCTTCAGCACCCTGGTTGGCGAAGTGTCCAACCTCTCTACAACTTTCCTGCAACGCGCAATTATTTGAACTGCGGTAGGCAGAAGTATTAGCGCCACCGAGAATAGGCCGCATATTGAAGCCATCAATTCTCCGATAATCCATATCAAGATTAAGATTCTCAGCATAGCCAAAATTAAATTGAACTCTTGAAACAATTTGACTTGATTTAGTACGTACAATGGGTCTACATTCAGCCAGACCGCTAGTGGGGCGATAAATAATGGAAATAGTGGACAAGTTTTAACAAATGTTTGAACGATCGTCTCCAAAACTTGATTCGTCAGAATTTTGTACTGGATATTTCCAAGGGCTATGCAGTAAAAATAAAGAGAAAGTTAGTCAGACTAGTCTTTTAATATATTTTAATTTACCTCTAATCCTGGGACCAAAATCAACAATGGGATTCACTATTTGGCACACTAAACCTGGACCGAAGTTGATGGTTACGCTCGTCGGGATAAATGATGGGAAGAGAAATGTAACATATAACATGACCAGGGTTCTCGAGATCTCAATCAGACTACTTGTAGCCTTTGTCCGGCTGGAAAGCAAGCGATTAAGGAGTAGAAGAGAAGTCACTATAGTGAAGGAAATAAGGAGAAGGAAAGAAAACTTGAGGAATACCCGTTTGAGAAATGAGCAATTCCGAACATATATTTTTCTTTTGAACACAAGAATTCCGAAGGGGTGCATATACTGAAATAGGAATTGGTATGTGGCCAAGATGTCCCATAATCGCGAAGAAACGAGGTCGTTTTCCGTAGGGGAGATTGAATTTGGAAATTTGAAAAGTTTGCGGAATTTTACAATCTTTTGGAAACTTGTTTTTTGGTGAAATACTGGTAAATTGGTTTTAATAGGCATGACTGCGTAGAATTGCCTTCTTAATGGAGAAATTTTAAATAGCTCAAGAGGTTGCTAGTATTTGTGTTGTCTAGATATTTTATACTTTGCAAGACCGTGAACGTAGATTATATATGACTCGATTCTTTTGCAAAGGCTAATTAGATAATGATATTAATCGTGAGGTTTGAACAGAATATTCCTGATTCCCTAGTATTCTTCGTATATTTTCCCAGCTTTGTCTATCCATCTGTGAATCATAGACTGTAAAATATGATATGTCTGCTAGAAGCAATCCATTATTTTGCAACTAGGCGATTCTGTGGTGCCCGTGGCACCAGTTATATTAGTATTTTGGAAACTTCCCCTGTCTGCAAATAATTCTTCTAATGCACAGATAAGAATTTCATCCCAGTATCTAACATAATTGACGAATCCTTATATTTACGGTAGGCTGCCCTTTGAGGTGGACGTGAACACTATGGCGTCACGTTCACGTTCACCTCATAGGTTGACCCTATTTGTTTAGAGCGTGTCAACTACACAGGCCGCATACCGACATAGTATGTGAGTGCCCCACTTTACAATCCCTTTAATGTCAAATAAAGCATGGAAGAGGTCTGTAACCAACAGACAGACAGACAGAAATGGGTAAATATATAAGTTAATAATGGAAATATAGCAAATTTGGACACATATTCCTTTCAGCTATGTTGTTGTGCATTCGCTTTATTAACGAACAGTGTATTCATCACTAGGCTTGTCCCGCTCCCGGAGGGAGTTTTGGCAGTTTTGAAACTCCCAAAACTCCTAAAGCTCCGTGAATTTAAATTTACTACCCCGTAAGCCCAATGCTAAAATAAACTCTCTGGGAATATTCCCAAAACTCCGGGCATCTATTACAGCCCCCTGGGTCACGTAGAACCCGATTCATCACTAGTTAGAAAAGAACACCCCACAGCTAGAATTTGATAGGCAGGAATATGACAGTAAATGTCATGTGTAATGTTGCTGTTGTTCTAAGAGTCAGAAAAACCTCCGTCCTTTAAACAATCCCCCATAACTTTGGATCCAGAGGTCACACCCTAATGCATGAGGGCTCGTTGGAAAGCTGAGGATATTTGGGGGCCACCCCTTTGTAATTCAGTGACCTAAGCCACACCCACCCGGGACCACACCCCCTCAAATCCAAACTTTGCGCCTGTAAGCTTTATATAGTCATGTGGGGTGTCAATCGAAAGCTCCTGAGATAAGCCAACCAACCCCACAGTAATTTAACCTGATAACCACACCCACCGACAACCACACCCTCCATGTCGAAATTTTTATTTTCTTTATACCACATCGAGTGGGGTATCGTTGGAAAGGTCTTGGTTGTGGCAGCAATTCTGCGACACCAATACCACTATTCTGAGCCACACCCATCTTGGACCACACCCCCTGGTCGAAAAGTTTTATTTTCATTTAAACATATCAAAT